AGCAGGGCAGACTTCTCTGGTCCAAAAATGGCTGGAGAAAGCAAGGTAAAGAGATTAGATTGGAATTTTTAGAGTGGCTAGGGCGTGGACTAGAGTGAGGATTTGCATGCACGGGCTGGGGCTTGCATGTTTTGAACTTCCCATTGGGAACCAAGAAAGAACATCTGGGTCTTCTTAACAGCTTGTCCAGATATGGGCATAAGGGAAAAACCAAGGGGTAGCACTTAGAAGCTGTCAGCCAACATCAAAAAGTGGAGTCAGACTCTGTTACAATTAGTGTGTTTGTACCATTCACACTTTTAGTGGTTACTGATATAATTGGATTCGTATCTACTGCGTCTGTAACTGTTTTTGTTGCATTCATGTTTTCTTTTTACCGTTTCCTCTAATTTTTAAAATTATTTATTTTTCAGAGAGAGAGAGAGCAAGCAGGGGAAGGGCAGAGAGGGAGGCAGAACCCCAAGCAGGCTCTGTCCCGTCAGCACAGAGCCTGATGCGGGGCTTGAACCCACGAACCGTGCGATCATGACCTGAGCCGAAAACAAGAGTTGGGATGCTTAACCGACTGAGCACCCAGGCGCCCCGGTTTCCTCTACTTTTAATTGAGCATTTTATGTGATTGCATTTAATTTTCTCTTCACATATTATGTACTTCTTTTTGAAATTTAGTGATTGTTCTGGAGTTTCCAATATAGATTTCTAGCTTTCAAATAACACTATGCCACTTCAGACATTGTCTGAGAAACTCTTTGTTTCTCCTTCATATTTGAAGAATAATTTCCATAACATGGAATTTTTAAGTTGATGGATTTTCCCTTCAATGTGTAAAATATTTCACTCCACTCTCTTCTTGCTTTTATGGTTTCTGACAAAAAGGCTGCTGTAATTCTTATCCTTGTTTCTCTATAGGTCAGGTCTCCCCAGCCCCAGCTTATTTCAAGATGTTCTCTGTCTTTGATTTCCTATAGTTTGAACATGATTTTCCTAGCTAGAGCTTTTGGGACGCTTATCTTTCTTGGTATTCTTTGAGCTTCCTAGATCTGTGGTCTGGTGTCTGTAACTGACTCTGGGAAGTTCTCAGTTATTACTACATCAAACATTTCTTCTGGTCCATTCTTTCTTTTCTTTCTGGTGTTTAAATTACATGTTACATCTTTAGAAACTGTCCCACCATTCTTGGATGGTGTGTGTGTGTGTGTGTGTGTGTGTGTGTGTGTGTGTGTGTGTTCTTATTCCTTTTTTTTCTGTGTTTCAGTTTGGGATGTTTCTATCAGCCTATCTTCAGGTTCACTGATTCCCCCTTTGGTCGTGTCCGGTCTCCTGATGATCCCATCAAAGGCATTTCCTCATTTCAGTTAGTGCTTTTGATTTCTAGCATTTCTTTCTGATTCTTAGAGTTTCCATCTCTCTGCTTATATTATTCATCTGTTCTTGCATGTTGTCCACTTTTTCCATTACAGCCCCTAGGATATTCACCATAGTTGCCTTCAAGTCCTGGTGTAATAATTACAACATCTCTGCCATACGAAGCGGTCTCTTCAAGCTTTGTTGTCTTTTAGTATGCCTTGTAATTTTCTTGTTGTTCAAAGCCAGGAATGATGTACTAGGTAGAAAGGACTGAGGTAAAAAGGCCTTTAGTGTAAAGCTCTAGGTTTACAAGACTTGAATTTGTGAGTTTATAGTTTTCATCAAATTTATAAAGCTCCTCTCCAAGTATTGTTCTGCCTTTTGCTTCCTTTCCCTTTCCTGGACTCTAATTATATATGTTAAACCACTTGGTATTGTTCTAGAGTTCACGGAGTCATCTTCTATTATTTTCCAGTCTTTTTTCTGTCCTTCAGTTTGGATAGTTTCTATCATTAGGTCTTTGAGTCGTTAATTTTTTTCTTCCATGGAATCTATCTGCTGTTGATCCTATCCAATGAAATATTCTGTTCTGGTGTTGTGAGGAAACAATGCAGAGGGTCTATTTTACTCACTTCTTACTTATCTCTGTAGCCAGGGCAGTGATCTCTGGCCAACCCCTGAAAACTAACTTCCTGGATATTTGCATAGTTACTAGTTAATGATGTTATGATATATGCCTGAAGCAGTGGCTCAAGATGAACCAGGCTACTTATAGCCTAACATGAAGATTTCCAATATGCACTTGACGCCTGACTTGGGGTCTGCACCATGACTGTGCTATGTGACTAGTCCACTTTAAGAACTCTGAATTCCAGGGGCGCCTGGGTGGCTCAGTTGGTTAAGCATCCAACTTTGGCTCAGGTCATGACCTTGCGGTTCAGGGGTTTGAGCCTCACATCAGGTTCTGTGCTGACAGCTCGGAGCCTGGAGCGTGCTTGGGATTCTGTGGCTCCCTCTCTTTCTCTGCCCCTCCCCTGCTTTTCTTTCTAAGATAAATAAAACATTAAAAAAATTTTTTTAACCTAGTTCTTTCCAGCTTACTCTCCCGCTAACCCCTCTCTCAAGTCACAAAACCTACATACTCCACTTACCATCATACTATATGGACTTTAAGGTCTCTAGGTTCATAGTGTTAGTTCCACAGCTGAAATCTTCTCACCCGGTACCGGTCTTCTGAAATTTGTTGAGGCTAGCACAGGAAAATTTCATAAATATTCAACGTGTGCTTGAAATGAGTAAGTTTTTGTGTTGAATGTGATCTCCTTCCTAAATTCATTAAACCGAGCTTGTTAATTGTATTATTCGAATCTACATTTTTACGGACTTTCCTGGTGTTTGATCTAATTACTGAGGAATATTAAAATCTCCACTATGACAGAAGATGTCGATGTTTCCTTGCAAATCTGTATGCATGTGCATGTTACTAGGTGCATACAAGTTTTACCTTCCAGGTAAACCTGTCACCATTATCTATGACCCACCTTTCCCCCAGGAAAGGAGATTACAGGAAAGAGATGAAGGGGGGCTGGAGAGTATGGGGGGGGGCAATTACAGACAGGTTTACATCTAAGCCCAATCTTCTCCGTGCAAAGGAAAGAAAACTAGCCTTCCCAGTGGTCTGTTACTTGGACAGTGGTTAAAATTCTTTGGGTGAACTATTTACTTTTTCCTAAGAACACAGCCAAGCCCCCTTGCTGCTTCTGTGAAACACAGTATGTTTTTCGCTCACCCTCCCACTGTGGGGAAAAGCCCACCAGGGTCTCAGCTTTGCCCAAAGTTCCCTGTTCAAAACTTCACCTGGCCTTTGAGGGTTTTTGTACCACGTTCAGTGAAAAGCAGAACCCACTCCCACGCTTCCTGGTTTCACTTCACCTGGGGTCCTGCAAACCCTTAGGTGGTGCTCAGCAACACAGTAACGAAACACCTATCTAGAATTTCCATTGACCCCATCCAAAGCATCACCCAGAGCCACTCCAGATTGCTGCAAATCTTTGACATCCTATTTATCCCTCATGGCTCAGTTCAAATCCAGCTGCTTTCATTAAACTCTGATCAATCAACAACCCCCCCACCCGCACTTCCAATGGAAATTAATAGCATCTTCCCCCTTTTCACTGCTATTCCCACCTCAGTTACAGCAACGACGACACCCTGCCTTACTTTACAGGCAGTTATATTTATATCTTTCTCTCCCTAATAAAAAAAAAAAAAGCAACTCACCGACCAGATCCTCTGTCAGGTCATTGGGTCCCTGTCCTCACTCCAGCCCTCTCTACTCCCTGCCTCCAGAGAGGGGGTCAAAATGTTCATCTACACATGGTGTTTCCCATCTTAAAATTTTTCTTTTAAATTTTTAACAAATGTTTATTTATTTTTGAGAGAAAGACACACAGAGACAGAGCATGAGCGGGGGAGGGGCAGAGAGAGAGGGAGACACGGAATCTGAAGCAGGCTACAGACTCTGAGCTGTCAGCACAGAGTGCGACGCAGGGCTCGAATTCAAAAGCAACGAGATCATGACCTAGGCTGAAGTCGGACGCTTAACCGACTGAGCCACCCAGGCGCCCCTTAAAATTTTTATTTTAAAACATATGCACAACTGTCCAATCCTGTGACAGTGGGCTCATGGCTGACGTCCTGTTCAAGAGAGCACTGCCTGCATCCCCTGTGTTGGGCTACTCTGTGATGTGCTCCCCAAGAAAACAACAGATTTTCCACAAGGGCCTTGGATAGGCCCCCACTTCAAGGGCCTTTTAGACGCCACCAGGTGTGCAGATTCAAATGCAGTCTCCTACCACCAAACTCACGTACTGCATTTGACCATAATTAGATACGGACTGAATCCTTTTCAACAGTTTCAAATTAGCTATATTTCACATAATCCAGTATTGAAAACTTTTTAATATTACTCTTAAGATCAAGGTGGAGAAGAAATTAGAGCATGCCTCTGACAGGAGATGCTAATAAGTGAGGACTCCAAGGTTGTTGCCACCGAGAACCAGGACAGGGCGAAGCACAAGGCAGGGGTCTGACGGTGGGTAAAGTGTAGGTAAGACTGAAACCTACATAGCGGGCACGAGTTTCTACTAACGCACCCAGGCCCCGCAGCCAGCTCCTCGAAGGCATTTCTAGGACACCCCCCATCAGCCATCACGTGGAATCCCAGGCCCACGTACTGAAGGCTCACTATGTTGTAGTCCATTTCGTAACTCAGAAGATACTTTCACGGGAACCACGAAGCCAGGGGATAAAACCGGCAGCCACCTGGAAAAGCTAACTTGGATCCGTTGTGCGCTTGCAAGGTCCCTCAGAGGGAAACTCGATTCTGACGTGGAAGACCATCGGCCTTAGCTCACCTCACATCGGGCTCCGAGCTAAGACGTCAAGGAGGCAGCCTACCTGCCTCTCCCAGCCAGCCGAGGCCACGGAGCACACGCCCGCTGCTGTCCGGTCTCCTCGTCTTTCCCATCTCTGTGCTGGTCCCACGCAAGAGAGCAGGTGCATCAGCACGGACTCACTGTACGGGAGGGCATTCTTATCTGTGACAGGAATGGGGATGGGACAAGGAAAACCGAACAGCAGCGGGGCTAGCCTCAGCAGCCTTTCTGAGTGATGTCCAGTCCCGACGACTTGGTGATTTCCAAAGTCGTAAACACCTGTTCGAAAGGAAGAATGCCAAACACATTTATATTTAGCCATCTATGTTTCAGTATTGCTTTTAAGAAAGCACATGGTGAATAGTACATCGACGTGAACCTTTAAAATATGCAAAGCAGTTACTAATACAAAATCTTTCTGACAATGTGCTTCATAGTAGTTTTTCAAATGACACCAGTTGAAATCAATAAACACACAAACCTATCTCCGTACCTCACCACATGTGGGATGAATTCCAATGGTGTCATCGAGTAGCTGTTTTGTGAGCCCACATTTCATTGCAGCCGCAAATCCTTGGGTGACCTCACCAGCATTTGGTCCAAGAACATGGAATCCTATCACCCGATACTTTAATATGCAAGCATAAGAAAGAGAAGCCCTGTAGGTTAATGGTCTGAACAGGAATCTATTTATTGCAAGTTCACAGTTAACATTTACAGCATCTACTACAGAAAAAGAACTCTAATGCTGAACTGAGCAGAGAACATTATCATGAAACTGAACCACTGTAAGAATCTGTTAAATGAGCCAGTAAATGCACATCCAGAGTTAATTTGCACTCAAATTTACTAGAACAAGCAATTTACCCACTGCATGAAGGAGTTCATTAGTATGATGTAAATTTCCAAATTATGCTGAGATAGTGCTAAACAGCAACATAACAAATCTGAATTAAAGTCCAATGCTAGAATAATTCTAAGACAGCAGGTTACCCCGCTCCTAACATAACTAAGCGGAGATCAAGGAGTGGCCAGCACAGGGCTTTGCCCAGTCCTGAGTGTAGGGAGGGGCACGAGCAGACCCACCAAGACAGGAAGCAAGATTCAAACTGTCCTTTGGCCGATGTTTTTTTCATCAGACTCTTCTCTTCAATAGTGACCGTGAACAACAGATAAGGAGAGAGAAGGCAGAAGGGTCTCTGCCCACCTACATCTGGAGAAAGTGCAAACAGCATGCGATCTCCTGCACATCTACTGGTGGATGGTCACAGAAGGCGGTGTTTCTCAGGGGGCAGGCCGTCAGAGGCCACGGGAGTGGGGGTGAGGAGTGGACTTCCCAGGGCCCCACGGAACTGGGGATCTCTGAGATGGTGCATTGCGCAGCAAAGTGGGGAAGGGGGAGCAGCCCAGAGTGACGAGAGACGTCTGACGGAAATCTCCACTTATAAATGAAAATGAAGACAGGTCTGTGAAAGGGAAAACCTTGTTTACAATTTTCACCATACAGCCACAGTAAGGGAGCAAGTACGAGGGCCATATTCTAGAAACAGCAATTTGGGAAGGAGTAAAAGGAGGGGCAGGGGACAGAGCAGAAGGCGTCCGAAGAGGGGTCGACAGACCTTGAAATTCTGCCCCAGGTCCAGCAGTCAGAAACCACATCCAGCTTATAAACTGCACATAAACACACACATCCTACATTTTATTCGTTGATGACCAAAACTTTCATAGATCCTCTGGTTCTACACTGCCAAATTAGACAGCGCTGGAAAGAGACAACTTTCAGTGATTTTGTTTTTCTGAAGGTATTAGTGAGCCACTTGTTCAGCCTCTACAAATACATCAACGGGGTAACCGTTTGAAGGATTTCTGCCTTGCCCTGAGAGCCATCTTTAAAGACGATTCAAACCCAATCCTAGACTAAAAGCTACAGTTTAAAATGACGGCTTTTTAGCTTCCAAGCGTATTACGTACATTGTCGAATTTATTGCAAATTATCTTTGCGTAGCAAGTGTTGTTGTCCCTGCCAGCCACTGTCCACTCGAGAGGCCAGAAGAAGGTATGATACACCTGCAAGACATGGGAGACAGAGGCCAAGGTTAGTGTCTGTGAAAGCCACTCCCTGATACGTTCTTCAATGGCATAAAGACGATAACGTCTGTAGCAGCTTTCAGAAAGTTCAAGGTTCACTTTGCAACAACGCGGATGGAACTAGACGGTATTATGCTAAACGAAATTAGTCGGAGAAAGACAAGTATCATATGACTTCACTCATATGAGGACTTTAAGATAAAAAAACAGATGAACATAAGGGAAGGGAAGCAAAAATAATATAAAAACAGAGAGGGAGACAAAACACAAGAGACTCTTAAATATAGAGAACAAACTGAGGGTTGCTGGAGGGGTTGTGGGAGGGGGGATGGGCTAAATGGGTAAGGGGCATTAAGGAGGACACTTGTTGGGATGAGCACTGGGTGTTACACATAGGGGATGAATCACTGGAATCTACTCCCGAAATCATTATTGCTCTATATGCTAACTTGGATATAAATTAAAAATAAATAAATAATAATTAAAAAAAAAAGTAATTGCAAGTTTGATGATATCAACTTTGTGTCTGATGGGAGCACCTGGGCCACAGCTCCTAAAATACCAACTACACAAGTGTGTGGGCCTCTTCTCCCCCCCCCCCCGCCCCCACCTTGGCTCAGCTGTTAGTCCAGAAAAATCTCCTAATTAACTAAACTGAATTTTCAAACATTGATAGCATGCTACTCTCCAGGGCAATGCAGCAGGCCCTGGTCACCTGAGAAGGTAAATAAAGACTTCGATTCTGCTTCAGTGAATTTACAGCCTGCCTACAAGGTTCACAGTGACCCCAAATGTAGGAAAAACAGAAGAAATGAAATCGTCCCAGCCGCTCAAGGATATTCAGAACACAACCTCTGCTTCTTGAGAGCCATCACTCCAAGCACTCTGCGTGCACCTCTAAGGTTCCCCCATCTGGCTCGGTCAGCGAGGAACCAGGACGAGGACCACATGCCCTGCTCTCACGGGGGCTACGTCTCCCCAGCCTGCTCCTTCTAATCGCTCCATACAGAAGGCGATGGATTATCATCAGCTGTCAGGATAAGAAATGTATTCCCAAGTAAAATCCACAATGGAAGGATTTAAGTACGGATTCTTTGTCCTTTAATAGGATAACGTATTTTATATTTTGAATAAAGTCTTTAGTGTTTTTATAAAAATGATATAAGGTTATCATAATAATGCAGTGCAGAAAGTCACTAAGTGAGAAAAAACAAAACAAAACAAATCCATCTCCCAGAAATAACTATTTTAAATGCTAGGGAAGTATCAACTGTTGGTGCACAGGTAATAATGATGAAATTTTTATTTGAAAGATATAGAACATAGTTACTTGTAATATAAAACGTTAAAAAAAAAAAAAAGGGGGCGCCTGGGTGGCGCAGTCGGTTAAGCGTCCAACTTCAGCCAGGTCAGGATCTCGCGGTCCGTGAGTTCGAGCCCCACGTCA